AAAGTTGCAATTAAAAATGTAACGAAAGGGAGAGAAAAAATGAATAGGAAAGAGGGAAATCAGTGGAACCCTGGAAAGGCAGCATAAGTAGAAGGTGGTGATGAAGGTCAAGCAAAAGCCAGCCTGACACCCCCCCCCCCCTTCCCCCAGCATGACTTGAGTCCAAGTCTCAGACTCGAGTCTCCATCTTTTATCCATCATTAAGGTGAACATTGTTCCACAAAACAACAATTTTACTGGTTGTAAAGTTTTTTTTTAATGTTTATCAATATTTATGAAACAGCAGCCAGAAAAATAAAACTATTATTTTGCTGAAAAAAAAAAAATTGTTCTAACATGTTGAAAGCAAGTAATCTGATTACAGTTGCCTTTAGTTTGTACATATTTATTTTCTTCTTTTCAACATTTAAAGGGAGAAAAACAGATGAGAAATCGGCTCATGTTGCCACCTGCTGTGAGCTAAAAGCTCCATCAGTGCCTCTTAACCAAATTTCAACTATTTGCTCATGAAAAACCCAAAAAACCCTGAGAAACGCAGGCTAGGCTTGTTTAACGGTAGGACCCCCCCATCAGCAGTGTTTATGTGAAGCACAGATGTACTCGGATGAAGGTTAGAGTCTGTTGGACTCTGCAGAATGCTGCTCAGAAACCACAGGAGGCTCCTTTAATTGGCTGGAGAAAAGAGATTCAGAAGCAAACAGAAACACTTCATCAGTTTCTGAAGCTTCCCAAAGGAATCTGTCCCACATTTACATCATTAACGACTAAAAATGCTGCATTATCACATTTCACACAGTTTGCCATAAATCCAGGAGGATGGAGACGCTCTCGGGCTCTGAGCTTTCCTCAAGGCCAGTTGAAATCTACCTCCAACAAAATCACTCAGATATCAGCAGAAAGACCAGAATAAGGCTGAACCCTCAGTTCCACACACTGAGTGGGTTAAACAAACCAACAAAGTAAACACTTACAAGTTTCACTCAAGAAATAAACTAACATTTGCTTATTTAGATGCTCAGTCCAACATTTTAGGTGCAAATAAATACAGTTTTATTTTGAAGGCTCCATTTGAGAATTAAAGGGACTTTACAGAGTTTTGAATTTTTATGCTCGCGATTGCCCCCTCAGGCCAAAAGCATAACGGCAGCTTCAATAGTAGGCTCGTGCACGAGGTGCGCATGCTGTACGTGCACACTCCTTAACGAAAATAACAGCTGAGACAGTCCCTTGTGTGTGTGTGTGTGTGTGTGTGTATGTGTGTGTGTGTGTGTGTGTGCGTGCATGTGTGTGTGTGTCCCGGAGGACAGAGGACAGGAGAACGTGCAGCTAATTAATTAAATAATGTGGTTCTGTACCTTTCTCTTCAGCACAGCCGACAAAGGTTAATGATGGGTCAGTCCTCCTGCATGCTCAGATCATTCCCTTCCCTTGCTTGAAAAATTGTTCCAAAATGAAAGTTGAACCCACATCTTTTTTATCTGTGAATTCAATGCCGTTCGGCGAGTCTCAAATAAAAATTTGGGCATCTTACTGTAAAAAAAAATACCATTAATGTAAAACAGAAACTCTAAATTAACTATGTTCACACCCAGATTCGAACCCAGGTCTTCTGCACAAAAGTTTGACATCTTACAAGGTGAGCTAAAGCGCCAGTGACATCCTTTGTATCTGTAACATTTATATCCTTGATGACACCTGAAACAACTTTCAAAGAACGAATCGGAGCGAAAATGGCTATTTTGTTGCTAATTTGCAGGAAATATTTAGAAGAAAGTTCTACAGAAAGTAGCTAAGGGTCCTCAGAAATGTAGCTAGCATTGTCACTAGGCGCTAGGAACAGCGACAAAGTGGCACTGCCTCTCTCTCTGCTGCCAAAGCTACGGATAGCAAATGCTACGGGCTATGCCTGAGCGTGAACGCGCATGAAGCAGCCTGCTCGACCCGAGCATCTCTCTTTTTCTGTGATTTTACAGAAAAACAGGCAATCACAGTAAAAATGCCAGGGCTCATTCTACAGGACCAGGGCATTGCAGGAGAATGTATGAAGAAGAAATGTATTATTTCTATACTTCCCAGAATTCCTAGCAGTAGGCTGCAGGATTTTACCCAGAGACCACCAGGAAATGTTTAACTAGCTTCAGCTGTTTTAGGGTACATGTGTTTTTTTTAGACTTTTATGAGTTTTGTTGCAGTCGCTGCTGCAGAAATCCGAACCTTGAACTGATTCCTAATGTACTCTCTTCTTATCTCACCAACAGAACATTCACAGTGAAGTCCGAAACCTTCTCTTCAGATACTGCCTCTCTAACATGCGGGGTCCCACAAGGTTCAGTTCTAGGGCCTCTACTATTCGCATTCTATATTCCTCCTCTAGCTGGCATCATTCAGTCTTTCCCAGACATCTCCTACCACATCTACGCTGATGATATTCAGCTCTATATGTCCTTTATGCCACACCAGTTGGACAGGCTGGCCACACTTGTACTCTGCCTGACCCAGATCAGTAACTGGCTGTCCAGCAACTTTCTTGTCCTAAATGCTAACAAGACAGAGACCCTGATCGCTGCACCCCCGGAACTTCAGCCAAAAATCGAGCAGGAAATTGCCTCCTTTTGCCCATCAGCCAAGGCCAACATTAGAAACCTGGGAGTTATTTTTGATCCAGCTTTAAGTTTAGACTCACACGTCAAAACCATCTCCCGCTCTTGTCTCTTTCAACTGAGAAACATTTCAAAAGTCCTTAAACTGGTTTCTACTGCAGATCTGGAAAAAATCATCCATGCCTTTGTGTCATCACGCTTAGACTACTGTAACGCTCTTTTTACTGGTCTCAGCAAAACCTCCCTCTCACGCCTTCAAGCCATCCAAAATGCAGCAGCCAGACTCCTAACCAAATCCAGCAGACGAGCTCACATCACTCCAGTTTTACAGTCCCTCCACTGGCTCCCGGTAGAATATAGAATACAGTTTAAAGTTTTAGTCCTGACCTATAGAGCTCTTAACAACCAGGCTCCAAGCTACCTATCTGAGCTTTTATCCCCACACACCACCTCTCGGAACCTTAGATCCACATCTGAAAACCTCCTGGCTGTTCCTCGAACCAGACTGAAAACCAAAGGGGACAGGTCCTTTCAGACTATTGCACCCAGACTTCGGAACAGTCTACCTTCAAATCTCCATCTCTCCAACACTGTAGAGGTCTTTAAAAATCATCTAAAAACTCACCTTTTCATGCAGGTGTTCCCTCCCTAAATGTTTCAAAAAGATGACTTTGTTCGGGTTCACACCTTCACTTTGTTTATACTCATGATTTTATTTTCTACGTTTATCACTGCTATTGTTTTTCTGATGTTTTTATTGGTTAGAGGTGTTTGCCCTGATCTTTATCATGTTGTACAGCGCTTTGTGATTTATATCTGTGAAAGGCGCTATATAAATAAACTTACTTACTTACTTACTTACTATACATGTTTTGGCTGTCAAACTTCCATAATGCCCCTTTAAGTCTAAATTTTGAGACAAAAATTCAAAAACTCAAAATAAAGTTTAAATATTTTCAGAATAATAAATATAAAATAAAAATATTTGTAGATTAAAGAGAATAAAATAACCAAAGACTCCAACTGTTTACATGCAAATAACTTCCCAGAATTCCTAGCAGTAGGCTGCAGGATTTTACCCAGAGACGACCAGTAAATGTTTAACTAGCTCCAGCTGTTTTAGGGTACATGTGTTTTTTTAGACTTTTAATTTGAAGGGCTGGGGGAGGTCTTATGAGTTTTGTTGCAGTCGCTGCTGCAGAAATCTGAACCTTGAACTGATTCCTAATGTACTTGTTCCATAGTTTACCGAGTAAAGCCCCGCAAGAACCTTCGGTTACAATCGTAATAAATCAGAACCAGTAGTCGGGTTCTTGGGAAGCATTAGGCTCATCCCGGACTTTCAGCTCAACGCATCAAATTATTTAATTTTAAATCTTGTAAATCTTTTTTTCTCTCCTTTAAATCTCAACATTAAAAAAAAAACAATCTTTTGGGTCAATTTCTGTGTACGAACAGTCCCGAATTCTCTCGTTTCCAACGTTGCTCATTCCGACAGAACCATGGCCTCCATTTGAGCTTCATGTTGAATCAAAGCATCTTTTTATTCCGGTTGGAATCCAACTAGAACTCGACGTTCCTGACAAAAAAAAGGAAAACCTCCTCCGGCTGATTTTGTTGGCTTTAAAAATCAAACTAAAAGGAGTTCACCTTCCTCTCAAAACATTGAGACCAGCTGATTTTTCATTCTTTGAGGATTTTATTTCCTCCGTCCGTCGCTAAAGGACCAGCTGTTGAAGAATCAACTCAGATATACTTTTAGTGTTAATCAGACGTTTTATTGTTTATTTTAGACCCTTTGGACTGATTTGAGTACATGAACTAACCCCACCCCCCAAAGAGGCTTTAAATTAATCTCCAGGTTTAAAAGTGTTTCTGCTCCTCTGTCCCACGGTTTGTGTTTACATGTTTGTTTTTAACTCTCAGTGACACCAGAGCACATAAATAAAACCCGGTTACATAAAGTTTCATCAGATTTTTTTTTCCTAAGGAGCTCCATAAACACGCAGACTTCTCAACTTGTTGGCACGTTAGTTTATTATCGAGTCAGCTGGAAATTTCAAATTCCAAAAGGTTCATAAAAATAAACTCTGGACGGCTGGTTCAGCTTCTGATCCAAAACTAAATGTGGTGTTTCATAAATAATTTTTGTGTGGCGTGGAGGTTCCGGGTCCAGGAGGTTCCTGGGGTTCAGCCAAGCTCGTCCCAGGAAGACACGTAATCCATGACTTTGTTCTTTTTTATTTTACACGGCGCAGTAAAATAACGCTTACCTTGAAGCTGACATGTTTCAGCTAGCGACTCCAGCCATCATCAGAGCTCGCCAGTGTCCCTTTATCCAACACCGGCGAGCTCTGATGATGGCTTGAGTCGCTAGCTGAAACGTGTCAGCTTCAAGGTAAACGTTATTTTACTGCGCTGTGTAAAATAAAAAAGAACAAAGTCATGGATTATTAAATGTGCAAAAGACAAAGACACCTCATGGACCGACCTCCTGCCGAGTTAAAGTCTGGTTTCTCTGGCGGCGGGACAGGGAGGGACCACAGAAAACATTCCAACATTGCTCTCTAGGGTCTCTGGAAGCTGGTGTCTTCGTCAGTCACCAGGTGAGGTCTCCAGTCCATCAAGGGGACACTCAAGAGACAACCAAATGGCGCCAACTCACATCTCTGGTTAAGCCAACATGCATGTTTTTTGTCTGGAAGAAAACCCTCACACGCAGGAGCAGAACATGCTAACTACAGGCATAAAGGCTGCAGCTGGGAATCAAACCTGTTACCTTCTTGTTACCAACCACACCACCGTGCAGTCCGCAGAAAAACTGCAGATTATTAATCTTAGAGACACGCAGAGTCAAGAATAAGTTACAGTGTTGTTCCAGACAAAGTTTAAATACATCTGGACCATCGTCACAAATCCTTAAACCACTTCTGTCCTTCAAGCGTCCAGATGGAGCATCAGGTCTAGTACCTTCATCAGTCCTGAGCATGTGCTGCCCCCTAGTGGAGGATCTACTGGTGTTTTACTTATTTATTAAATTATAAAATAAAATGATAGTTTTGGCTCTAGATGCCGGTTCTGGTGCCGACCCGTTAAAGATTCCTGTGACAGAAGTTCTGCTCAAATGTAAAATATTCCTGATGAAGTATTCTGAGCTCTAAGGCTCTCAGGCGTCGGCCTTTATCTCTGATCGCCCCTGTCAGAGGGGTGAGAGGTCAGGAATGGAGAGGATTACAGAAGGACCGCCGGCCGTTTGATGAAGAGTCCGACCCGACATGTGGCGTTCCGACTTAATTCCTGAACACAATGTGTGATCATGGCTGAGCGAGACCTTTTAGAGCTCAGTGAGGAAGCGGCGAAACGGCACATACGGATGATTAAAGTTGTGCTTCCAGGCAGGAACCCGACGTCGTTACAATAGCTGAGTAAAATTTGCTATTTTCTGCGCCGGATGAGACTCGGATAAAAGAAACAGCAGGTATCGGTTTAGAAATTTCTCTCTGATGGAAAAACGAAACGGAAAGGACTCAAACAGAGCTGAAGAAATCGTGCCGCTAGGTCTGGAGTTCGTTGTAAAACCATCAGCGCAGAGACGTCTGACGGGACTTTGATTTGGTTTGATTATCAGAGTTTTAACGTTTTTAAAATGAAAACGTTTCACAAAGGAAATGGTTGAGGATGAGAGGGACAAAGGAAAAAAGAGAAAATCACATTTAAGGAACAAAGGAAGGAAGGAAACAAGGGGCGAGGGAGGGAGGAAAGAAGAAAGGTCAGAAAGACAAAAGAGAATAAAAGAAGGAAATAAGATTGTTGCTGTATTGAAACTTGTTTATCATAAGCTGATGGAATAGTTTTCATCCATGGAATAGTTTTTTGTTGCCCAACCTCTTAGCTATCTTTGCTAGCGTTGAAAAACTATTTCTTATTGAATGACTTTAAAAACGGCAGATTTAAAGAGCAAGTCCCCCCTAATCAACATTTGTGCTGCTAAACTATATTAATGAGTCTAGTCATGCTGTAGACACGTGTAGTCAATAATTTGGCACTTTAATGCATCTTAGTTAAAATTTACATATTCTGCCCAAAACTGTCAGTGTTGTGCCCTCTTCAAGTAAAAACTGCACTACATTATAATTTTAATCTGCCATCGCTATTGTGAATTTGCTAGTGGCTCCGCCCTTTCGGTTTGCCAGGCAACGCCTCCTTGTGGTGCATTTTTCAGGAAATGGGAGTGGGGTTAGACTCTGGTAGGGGGGTGACTTGCTCTTTAACTACTTTCAACTGTGTCTTAAGGGATGTGGAGTTTGAATCTAATCTATTAATCTAGTTATAAATCTAAAAATGTTTTTAAATCTTTAGCTCCTCCTTCCTAAGACCCCCCGAATCAAAGCTGGCTGCAGGAAGATTCTTCATTCCTCCTTTTTAACCAAAGATAAGATGGGAGGAGAAGTTCCTAAACTCCTCAGGAGAAGTTGGTGCTTTCAGATCAAACGTGGAGGTGAAACATCAAACTGAGAACAAAAGGTTTCCTGAATCGTGTCAGATGGTTCATTCTGAGGACGGAACGTTCCTTAGAACATCCTCCAAGCTTCGCCAGACTTAATCTTCACCTTCAGCCTTAATGACAAAAACAAACAAGTGTTTGATCCTTTTGATGGACAGGAGACGTTCAGACCGAACCGCTGAATCATCTCTTCTCAACAAAAGAAAAACTTCTCAGAAATCCCCTTCAGAGGTAATTTAACGGCTCAGTGATGTGAGGATTATTCTTTAGCTTCCTAAACACATTTTAAAACATCGTTTATGGAAACATAAACTTTTAGATGCAATTAAAAACTGTAGATTTATAATTACATCACAAAAAAATACAAAATGTGTTCATAAATGTAAATGAACTTGTTCTGGATGAACCACTGGCGCTGATGGTGAATGAAATGTTGATGTTAGTGGAAACCAACGGAACGGAAACTGATGGTTTTGGTGTCTGTTGTAGAAATTCAATGACTATTCCATTAAAAACATGAAAAGCTTCTTAAATCTGCTCTTTTGGATGTTTAAACACGTGAGTTTTTAAAATAATTTTTAGGGTTTTAGGCACCAGAGTGGAGGGTCCAAAGAAGCAGTTGTGGCTCCAGGGCCGAAGGTGGAGACCACCGGTACGGAGGAGACAGTAGATGAGGAACTGATGCTAAGTAATTTCATTTGTTTGGTTCATTTTGTTCTGACCTTGAGATCCTGTTAAATCTGCCTCCAGGTTCTGTTTTAATAAACTCCTGATCTGATCATAAATCTGAATAAAATTCCGCCGTTTGTGTCATTTCAGCCAAATCTGAGACGTCTCCACGCGTCCTCACAAGCATACGAGTCCTCAGATGTGCAAACGAGCTGCTCCTACAGAAAATCACCCAACGGCTCATCAGGTAAACCGACGTCGTTACCGCCGCTCACGAACGTGCTCCAACAACAACCCCAGTCTGTTTTCTGTTTCATGTCTTCAAACTTCCAGCTGCAGGAGTTGAATGAGACGGGAAGCATCACCAAAACTTCTACAGGATAAAAAGAACTAACTGGTTGGCTTCAAAAACAGAAAAAGCCTTCGAGCAGCAAACAACAAAGGAGAACTTCCCCCGAAGAAACAACGGCATCATTCCCAGAACCTCAGAGGCAGAATTACAGAACAGCTCCTGAAAGATTCAAGAGCGGTTCTGGAGTCTGCAGCTGCAAAAACAGTAAGTCTCACCAGAACCCTGCGGAACAACTAAAGCACTAATCTTAGGTTTGGGTTAGGGTGGCTGCTGGAAACACTAGAATCAGGAAAATCACACAAGGTTCTGACGGGATCCTCTGGAGCCGAGATTTACCCCCAACAGGATGTAGAACATGGAAGCACTCACCCGTATCCGCTGGACCTCCAGGAACACGGCTTTTTGGAAGGATTTCTCCCAGACGGCCAGCTCCGAGGCCAGCTCCACCCTGAAGGTGTGGCTCTGGCCGTGACCCACCAGAATGCTGAAGCACAGGGATTCCACGTCCTGCTGCTCCGGGGAGAGCTCCAATCCCAGGTACAGCCTCGCCTGGAGCCAGCAGTCCTCGGACATCCACAGCTGCAACAAGAACATTTACCTGGTTAAGGGTCAGATCGGGTCAGGTTTACCCGGCCCTGATCCTTTTACCTTGTGAACTTTGAAAAGGACCTCATAGAGGTTATATGTGGTTTCAGCCTGTCCCCAGTCAGCGGTGTCGATCTGAGGACACACAACAAACAGACGTCAGTCTGGTTCTGATCCAGAAGCTGCGGGTCGTCAACATCTGGATTGAAGGGACTAGGATCCTGCTTTATCCTGCATGGAGAGAAATTAGGATGCAAAAGAAAATGGAAAAAATCTGATAGAGGAGCACAACCCGAGCTTTAACAGTACCACTAGAAAACGAGAAATTCCATCCATCCATTGTCTGAACCCGCTATGTCCATGTAGGGTCGGGTGGGGGTGGGTGGTGGAGCGGGTGCCTATCTCCAGCGGTCAACGGGCAATCAGGCGGGGTACACCCTGGACAGAGAGCCAGTCCATCGCAGGGCAACACAGAGACACACAGGACAAACAATCACACACACACACACACCTAAGGACAATTTAGACAGACCAATCAACCTAACAGTCGTATTTTTGGACTGTGGGAGGAAGCCGGAGAACCCGGAGAGAACCCACGCATGCACAGGGAGAACATGCTAACTCCATGCAGAAAGATCCCAGGCTGGGAAGCGAACCCAGGACCTTCTTGCTGCAAGGCAACAGCTCTAACCACTGCGCCGCCCCTAAAATGAGAAATTTAACTTCCAAATTATTAAATCAGCTAAATAAACTGTTGGAGAGCCAGAAATAAAGAAACAAGATCAGACATGACGTCCAGCCCCCCCTGGAGAACTTTTTCAGGAAGCTCTCTGTTCTCTGTGGGGTTTTTTCAGATCAGAGACTTTCTACATTTAAACACTTTTCAGAATATTTGCTTCTTTTGACCATTTGCGTGCGGTGGGGGATATCAGACAGAAGCCTTTCAGAGCAGAACGTTTCCCTTCTCATCCGAGGAGCTTCGTCAATTCTGAAAGTTTGGCAAAGTTCCTCGGATGAGCGAAACGGCATCAAGAAACCAAAGAAGTCCTGTTTCTTTCATTTGGATTACCGTGACCAGGATGACTGAGAACCTTCACCAGCTAACCAACCCTGCAGACGCACCATCCAGTCCAGAGGCAGAGGGGAGTTAAAGGGTTAAACGAGGATAAACTACAGGATGTGAGGAGAATAAAGAGTCATGCACCAAAAAACATCTACAAAGAAAACTGGATTTCTAGAGTTTAACATTTTGCAGAAAAACCTTTTTGATCAGACTTCCAAACGAGGTTGACGACAGAGGAGATAAAAACGCAACTGGAAGTCTGAGAACATGATGTCAGACATTTAAACACAGACCTTGTAGAAGGAAAACACCAAAATATGTTTTATTATGGAATGCTGCAGGAGAAACAGCAGGACTTATTTAAATAAATTCATTATAAATGATAGGATTTCATTCAACAGTAAGACGGAGAACTCCTTTATAAATGAAGGAGGGAAAAGGAACAGGAATGCAATTCAGACATAAATTTGTTGCCGTTTAGGAACAGATTTAGTCATTGATTCAGAATTAAAATGGATTTACTTCTCTTGGCACCAACTTAGTGTCAGACAATGTATTTCTTTTGGGATATTTAGCAAGTTTTGGCCATTTTATGTGTTGACATGAAAAGTTCAGTTGTTCACAACTGAACCTTCTAGACCTCCAGTCTTATGGCTTCCAACCAGGATTTGGCTTGTGTGAGAAAAACAACGGTCAGAATAAAACCATCCAGGTCAGAAAAATCTCATTTCTGCTTTTTAAAAACCTTTATTTTACTCTTCAGTGAAGAAAAGTTTCGGTTTCCTATTTAAGTCTGAAAACAAGACTGAAGGCTGTTGTTTTGGCCCCAATTCTAGGTTTGAGTTGTTGCTGCTCTAAACTGGGATTTCTGAAGGAATCCAGTGGAAAACCGGTAGAAATTTAAAGTAAAGTAGGACTGATCCAAGAACAGAAACAAGAGGAACCACAACAGGATTCACACAACTCAGCTGGGAATAAAAGGAAACAACAATCCGACGAAAAGTCCCTGGAAACTGATAAATGTCCCATACTTGTGTGGCACCTCTCTGAGTCAGAGGACTCCAAACCACTTTATACTACAGTGAATCATTCATCCGTTCACACACATGGTGGTGGTGAGCTCCATCTTACTCGCAGCTGCCCTGGGGCGCACTTACAAACCAAGGAAGTGCTGGGTTTTCAAAATAAAACGGGAAATGGAAACAGAACCAAGATGATCAAAAACAACCACCAAATTATCAGAATAAAGATCGAATTCTGCCATAAAAACTAACTCGGAGAGGGTAAAAAAATAAAATCTACCAATTATTTTGTCAACAATTGGCTAGCCATACAAAGCTAAACCACCTGTAGTAACAGGTGATGAGGGCTCCTGATAGAGGTCATGTAGAAGATCGGAGGTTCCGCTAAATTATTAGGATTATCTGTGGTTTGAAAGTGACAGAAGCCATGAAAACAGAGTTAGGAGGTTCTGACTCATCAAATCCTGTTGGACCAGAATGAAAAGCTCCTCTTCCAGGACCAAGACAGATGGGAACAGGCTGACAGATCAATTAACAGTCAGCTGTAAAAACACAAACTCCCAGAAATCCACTCTACTGGGATGACACGGTCGGCTCGAATCACAACAAATAAAAATTAATAAGAAGCGGAGGCGCGCGTGTCCTTCATTATTCAGTCACCGCTGAAGCATGTGCTGCTGGCTCGACTCTGAAGCTCGCTGAGGGGCAATCACAGAGCTGCAGAATTCAATCACCACACCGCTGCTCAAAATACGCGTTCAAACCATCACCGAAAACCACAAAATACTGATGTGAGAGAGCATTACTTACCGGAGGACATTTGAAGATATAAAAATATGCTCCTCTGAGCGCCAGGAACTTGAGCGCTGAAGGTCGACCAGTGGCTCTGCTCTCTGGACATTCACACACCCAGCCCATGTGAACAATCTGCAGCAATTAAAAACACAAAAATGTATTATTTTAACTAAAATACAATGAAATATGATGATACACCCACAAATACAGAAACAAGTCCATTAAAATGAGTTTATATTAATTCCGTAGTTTTAAAGAAGCAATATGTAAGAATTTTACAGTGAAATCATTCCAAAACAGTCCGATGTCTCAGTCATGTTGGAAGGAACTTTGCACTGAAACAGATTTCCTTCTTAAGCCGGGCGTACACTGTGCGACTTTTTCACTCGCAGCGTTCAGCTTCAGCTCAAACTGTACGACTTCCTCGCAGAGCAGATCTAAAGAGGGATGTAGTCTTTGTTTACTGCTTGAGCCTGTGAGGCTGTAGAGTCTGCGCCGATCTAATGCTGCAACACCACCATTTGTAGGATCCTAAGCCAGTAACAGAAGCGACCCAGAAGGAGCCACAGCATCCTTTTTGCTTTACTCTAATATCTGGTAAAAAAATAAAAATAAATTAGAAACTGGAGGCTAACATTGAGCTAACAATGCTAATGGAAAAAAAAGTCTGATCTGAAAATATCTCAAGCTACTGTTTCAATGACCAACAACTTGCTATTAAGGTGAAATGTATTCATCTACGTAAAGTACTGAGTACGACCCGTCATCTAGAATTTTCCAGTGCTGGCCCGTGACTGGCTCAGAGCGGACCCCTTTGTTTTGATACATGGACTGCAGTACCGACATTTGACCACAGGGTATCAGACTCACTTCATGCACCTTCAAGATGAATCTGAACTCACCCTGTGACGGTTTTTCCTTTTTAATTTAATATCTTTGCTCACAGCTGTTTTTCCTGCCTGATGTAAAGATTACTGACAGAAAAAGACTCAGATGTTCTTGAAGGTGAGAAGAAACTCAGATTAAAATCTAACAATGCTCTGAAGTCAAACCTCATTTTAAAAAAATTAGTTAAAAAAAGGAAGAATATTGAAGTTGAATGCTTTTAAACCCTCTGATCAACATCCTGTCAGGTAAATTTCCAAGTGAGATTTATCCGCCTGGAGCAGCTTGAAGTTTTACACAAACCAGAGGATTCCCTCCTTACAGCCCAGACGGAGGTTCTTTAGGTGGCATCAGAGTATTTCATGATGATTCTGTACAACAGCAGTACTCTCTATTTTCCTGGTCTCTCCCCATCTTCCGTTCCCGGATCTCGGTTATTACTGCTGCAGCCTCTGGAGGATTTCACCTCCTTCCTTTGTGCTCACAGCTTTGGACTCAATTTTGAGGAAATTGCATGTCTGCCCAGAGATGGTACCTGTTCTCCCCTCACACCTTGACCCCCTGCTAGACTCCCCGTCTGAGTGGTCTGAATCCAATCTAAACCTGCAGGTATAAGAACAGCAGCTGACCCGTCCAAATGGCTGGTTCTGGCTTAGAAAGTATCCATTATCACACATTAGCGGACGTTTGCCATCATTTGAAACCTATTAAAGAGGATTTTGGTTTAAAGGTTTCCTGCTGAGGACTTGCTGGAGCTCCAGGAAACTGGGTCAGACACAGTTAATCATTTTCAGGCGCAGAGGTGTTAGAGAAAGCTGATTTACACCCAGTTCTGTAGCACTTTATTTTCTTTTTCTTTGTTTTGGTTCAAATTTCCTCTGTAGTTTTGCTTTCTCTATGTTTGCTTTAATATGTGATAAATATATGTGCTTCATCACCAGTCTAACACAGATAATAGTGTCATATAAACTCAAACGCTGAGACAGGAAGTGATGGAATTCCTACCTGATCATCTGAAGAGCAGAACTTGTTTATTATTTTTACCTGGAAGACAAATAAACCAACCAGTAAAATCTCCCAAAAAAGCCTTAAGGTTCAAATAAAACACCATCGAGTGTGAAAACTTTAAAACAAAATTAATTTGTGACATTCGTTAGAATTTTCACATCAGAACCAAAGAAAAAAATCAACATTTTTATGTTTCATCCCTTTGATCAAATGTAACCTCTGGGACATGAAGGTTCATCTAGACCTCAAACATTAAACACTGGTGGGACTGGTGGTTAATGACAGAGTGACCAAAACCAGACTGGTTAACTGGTAAAGGACTGGGATCCATCTCACAGCACAGTGATAGGGCTGGTGACCAGCATGAGGAGGAGGAGGAGTCAAACTAGTGACCAGCATGAGGAGGAGGAGGAGTCAAACTAGTGACCAGCATGAGGAGGAGGAGGAGTCAAACTAGTGACCAGCATGAGGAGGAGGAGGAGTCAAACTAGTGACCAGCATGAAGAGGAGGAGCTAAACTAGTGACCAGCATGAGGAGGAAGAGTCAAACTAGTGACCAGCATGAGGAGGAGGAGCCAAACAGGTGACCAGCATGAGGAGGAGGAGCTAAACTAGTGACCAGCATGAAGAGGAGGAGCTAAACTAGTGACCAGCATGAGGAGGAGGAGTCAAACTAGTGACACCAGCATGAAGAGGAGAAGGAGCCAAACAGGTGACCAGCATGAGGAGGAGGAGCTAAACTAGTGACCAGCATGAGGAGGAGGAGCTAAACTAGTGACCAGCATGAGGAGGAGGAGCTAAACTAGTGACCAGCATGAGGAGGAGGAGCTAAACTAGTGACCAGCATGAAGAGGAGAAGGAGCTATAGTAAGAGACTCTCGGGCCCAGTCCCAATACTTGCACTTCCACCTTGTGCCCTTCAATTGCACAATCCCGTCCAGAAGTGCGAATGTGTAGGGTGTCCCGATTCTCAAGTGCCTTTTCTGAAAACTTATTTTCAAATGAAGGTAGTTGATTTTAGGACAATTAATTAATGTGGACAGCAATTAATGTAAATTGGTTGTTTGAATGTTGTGAATATATTTTTTAAAAGCAGCACAGCGACCAGCATCTTGCCACGCGTTGAAGCTCCCTGTCCAAATTTGGCAATTCGTTGCACTTGAAGCCTTTCGGACTTCCTCCAAATGCACTTCACAGAAGACCGTAGGACTCAGTGCGAATGTTGGGATTGGGCCTAAGTCAGCTTGCTTCTCACACCAAACCCTCCGTCAAGAATCTTGGCGTGACCTTTGACCCAGCTCTCACCCTGGATTCTCATGTCAGTTCTCTTGTTCGCTCTTCCTTCTTCCATCTCAGGAACGTTGCTAAGCTGAGTCCCATTCTGTCCCGCTCTGAACTTGAGACAGTTCTCCACACCTTCATCTCCTCACGCTTAGACTACTGTAACTCTCTTTTCACGTGTCTGAGCAGAACCTCCCTGAACCGTCTACAGGTGGTTCAGAACGCCTGTGCTCGGCTTCTGACCAAGTCCTCCAAACACACCCACATCACCCCGCTTCTCCTCCAGCTTCACTGGCTGCCAGTCAACTTCAGGGTTCATTTCAAGATCCTGGTTCTGGTCTATAGGGCCTTACATGGACAAGCACCATCTTACATTGGTGATCTTCTTAGTCCCTACACCCCCAGCAGGTCCCTGAGTTCCAGTGATCAAAGCCTACTGGTTGTGCAGCACCAGGCTAAAGGTCAAAGGTGACAGATAATCTGCTGCTGTGGCCCCCAGACTCTGGACCTCTCTCCCCCCGAGCCTGAGATCAGTGGACTTTTTTCAAAAGCAGCTGAAGACTCACTTGTTCAGGCTTTTGTGGGACCTCTTGCTCCTCGTCTTATTCCTCACAAGCTTCTTTTCAAGCTGATGTTTCAATCAACTGTCTTTTTTGGGCTCCCATCTTCAGCTCTTTTTCATTTTTCTTCTTATTAATTGTCTTTTATTTATGTAATCATTTATTGGTAGCCATTTAAACTTGTGAAGTACTTTATCTAGGAATAGCTGCATCAAAAAACCCTTTCCTCCTCCTCTTCTTAATCCCTAAAAACATTCAAGCGTGTCAGATTACAAACATCCAGGTGAAAATAAGCTGTCAAACTGACAGGATGCTCCAGAGTCTATTTAAGGGTCATAGGTCATTAAAACAAAAGTTCTACTCTCTCCCAGAGCAGCCACACAATTAGATCCTGATTGGGCATTTAGCAATCATAGTCAGTAATTAGGAGATGCAGGCATGAATTAATCACATGTTTTAAAACAGGCAGCTGTGCAAGTGACTTACAGTGCGAATGCAAAACGCTTCACATCATCGGTGTGATAATCAACGTGAAATAGGAGGAAATGAGAGAGAGAGAAGAGCTCATCTTGACAACTACTCCGTCATTAGGATGGATGGAGAGAGAGGGAGACGGGGAGAAAGAGAGACAGGGACAGAAGAGCACATCCTGACGACTACTCAGTCGTTAGTGTGGATTTGGGGGGGGGGGGGGGGGGGACACAGAGGGAGACAGACAGAAGAACTGGTTCCTTCTCAGTCATTAATTAGAATATTTAAAATTAAAAGGCCGTGCTTGTTGTTTCATAAGGTTAAAGGTTTTAAAGTCAAGTACAATCTTTTCTACTCCATTCGGGAGTTATGTGATTGGGCCCAATTTCAAATCACGTGATCAGATTGGAACATCCCGTGAATATATTTAAGATTAAGGTGTAATACATTTTTCCGCGGAAAAACAGGAAAATACTGGATTTGTGCTTAATTGTAGTTAAAAGGGTACTTAGACGTACCCTATGGGGTACTTTTGCACCTACGTCTGAAATAGTTTTCCTTTACTTCTGAGAACTCTCAGGGTATTTTGGGGTTATTTGTATTTCTGTTCAGGCTCCTCCCCCTGCTTCCAGGGTATTGTGCTGGTACTCTGGTACTTTATGGAATACTTGCATACCACCTGTGAGGTATTCAGTACTGTACAAATACTGACCGTTTTTTTCCTATTTCATGACTGAATAACATGAAAGTAGTCCCAGATACATTTCTAAACAATTCATGTCCTGGACCAATCTATACCATTAATCACTGGGAATTTGCAGATTTTCAAAATAAAGCTAAGTTCAGTAACAAGTTTTAAATGTTATATTTTTGTTTAAAACTAAAAAAAACCAGCTGGAGCTAAAGCAGCCTGTAATGTGATGAGGACTCACGTGCTCCTGCGTCAGATCGTTGATGTTTGTAGATATTGCTTGGAGCCAGTCTGTGCTTTCTGCTGATGTGCAGAACTGGAGAATACTGGTGTCGGTTCCATCCAAGGCAAGCACTTCAAAACAGTTGGTCCTGGAGGGGAGGAGAGGTCAGAGGGATGAGCAGCGGGACTTGTCCTCATGCTGAGCTTTCATTCATCCTGAAGAGCAACTACAAAAACAACACATCTGTCTTTAAGGCAACACTTTCACGTTTGACCAAAGAAACTAAATGAAATCCCTTAAAGGTGCAGTATGTAAGAATAATGTGAGAATTTTACAGAGAAAATCCCAAAAGAGTCTAATGTTTCAGTCATTTTGGAAGGAAGGTTGTACCGAAACATATTTCATATCCAGCTGTGAGGATTGTCGGTTTTTCTCCTTTCAAAACAAAGGAAGGAGGGACATAGCTACTGTTTACCATCAGTGAGCGTGATGTTGCCGTGTCTCCTGCGAGCCAATACTGCAGCGCCGGCCAGAGTTGTTTAAAGTGGTCGCAGTAACCCCATTTTACCACAGGATGTAATTTTTACTTCATTTCTACATAATGCACCTTTAAAGAGTGAGAAGCTGAGTTTAGCTGGTTGTGTGGGCAGAGGCAAACTGAGCATACGTCTAAATCAAGGTTCTACCAGACGATGAGCAGAAATCACAAGCTGGTGTTTCAGGTTTGTGATTGCATGTGTGTGTTTACAAAAGAGAGGGGAGAGAAAGCTGCTAACCGGAGCGGTTCCTGATAAATGTGCAAGTCTCACTTCTGACTGGAAATGGATTCAGGTCAGAAATGTTAACCCTGCAGCTACAATCTGCAGAAAAAACTACACGCGTGTGATTGTAAAGCATCTTCCTACACTTATCATGCCCAAAGTGCTTCACATGATACAATTAGAAACACATCATCTTTATACCATTTCATTAAAGATGAATAAAATCAAATAAAAATATTTAAAAAAAACAGTAAAATCTATAAAATCATAAAACTATCTCATACCCAGACAACAGCTGTAGAGACAATAAAACAAGACTCACCTCAACTCCTATAAGAAAGCCAAAGAATAAAAATGGGGTTTTAATCTACTCTTAACATCCAGCGATGGAGCCTGCCTAACCACCAGAGGGAGAACATTCCATAACTTGGGTCCAAGAAATGAAAAAGCCTGCTCTCCTCTGGTGACCCGGTTAACCTTCGGAACTTCCAAAAGGTCCAATGTAGGGATCTAAGTGGCCGTGATGGAACGTATCGCGTTAGAACATTACACAGATGTGGTGGTGCAGTTCCCAGGAGCCATCACAGGGATGCCAGTAAGGGAGAGATACGATCCCTCAGGGCTGCTCAATTAATCGAATTTTAATCACAATTACGATCTGAGTTTTGAACGATTATAAAAACAAAACAAGGTAATTATTTGCTCCTCCCACTTGCGCTGCCCCGAGTTGCAAATGAAGCGCTCCTCCCACAGTGTTGCCAACTTGGCGACTTTGACGCTATTTCTAGCAGCTTCTCAGACCCCTTTCTTGACTTTTTAAATCTTAAAAGTACCTAGTGAGCACCTCAGAAACATCTCTGGTAACCCTTTGCTACTTTCTGGATAACTGTCGTCGACATTTCCTGCAGGTTAGCTAAACACTCCGCCTGCACTCCGGACCGTTCTTCAGGACATTAGGAAAGGGAATGATGTAGTGATGTGTCGGTCGCTAAAGACACAGCTCTCGGAGCCGGTTCCCTGTTGGATTAACCAGAGTGAGTGACACACACACCACAACTGCGGACTCCTGAGCCATTAAAAACGGCTAAATGTGCGCGTGCGGCGCGCTAAACACACGTACAGCTTGCCCCTGATTGCTGTGAGACCGGGTTGGGGGGTGGGGGGTGCAGCTGTGGTTGGGACAATTATTACATTAACTGATGGACTTGTAAATAAATAGTTTATAAATAAGGTAGAAATAAGTTCCTCACGCTGATAAATAATAACTAATCTCTCTGAGGACACGGTGCTAGTGCACTCTCCTACAGCACCTTGACACGACTCAATAAATGTTACGCAACATTTTGTGAACATCAATTTGCATTTATTTGTTATAATTGTTTATTTGTATAACTCTCGCTGTCAGTATTTGCAAGATATTGGTATTTGGGTCTGTACTGGTTAGACTTAAATGAGTTAAACCAAGGTCTACAGCCCTTGGGTCATAGACTATGAGCTATAAGTATATTGGTCTTTTTATACTGGGAATTAGGAGTTATTTTAGTGATCATCTTGTTTATTTCTTTTTGTCCTGGTTGTGCCCTGAGCAATTTTATGACAGAATTAAAACAAATAAAATCAACATAAATTGAAAAATCGTCCTAAATAATCAAGATCTCAATTTCAGTCACCATAATCGTGATTATTATTTTTGCCATAATCGAGCAGACCTACGATGCCTTCTTCTGGCCCTCAGAAACCTAGCGACTGAATTTTAGACCATTTCTAGTCTGGATGTTGAAGCTTGATTAATTCCAGCATAGCGAATTACAATAATCCAGACATGGCGTGATGGTGCTTGCATTTCAAACCTAGCTTGTTTGCAGAATGCTATCACAGCTTTGAATGGTGAGCGACAGCTACAGCAGCTTTTCTGTTTTATTAAACATTTATTGCAGAAAATGTCAAATAGTTAAAATTATAATGCTTAAAACTAAATTACTTCTTGTCTAATTAATATAACTTTGTAATAATCGGTTTTATTTTATGATGTAAAATATAATTTACCAACAAAACAAAACTGTTTGTTGCTACCTACCCCCTCCACCAGGGGGCAGCACTTGTATTAGACTGGATCTGGCAGGTTTCTGAAAGTACAAATACTTAAGTATCAGTGCACTGATAAAAATCAACATCATCATAATAAACTAGCATTCAGAGCATTATCTGATGCTCTTATTTTGATAAACCACACTGAAGCATTCCAGATGCGTTTGTGTCTAGAGAAATAAATGCAGGTCGTTTCCAACTTTGGGAAAAATGTAGGACTTTTCTGTGATGAGGAAGATGTTTAACGGTACGGCTGACAGATCCAGAGTCATTACACAGTAAATGGCCTTCGTACGGTTCTACAACCCCCCAAGGCGCTTCACAGTAAAGATCACATGACCCGACCTTGACTGGGCCCTAACGTAAAGCACTTAAACTTTAAAGTGCGTTAAATAATGGAGGTGAAGAGGGCACCGGGTTGTGATCCCAGATTTTTTAATTAAACTTTCCATTTGAAATCTAATCACAGGAAGAAATAAGATGATTAACATCGCGGATCTGCATCAGCATTCGGCAGAAGTGGAACTTTTAGTTCGCAGAGGTTAAAGCTGCAGTTTATAAACAAAAACAAACATGAAGTTTCTGTGTTGATGAGGTCATCTCAGACGGACCACGCTCATTAACCCATCAGGATTCGACGCGTGTGTGTGTGTGTGTGTGTGTGTGTGTGTGTGTGTGTGTGTGTGTGTGTCTGTGTGTGTGTGTGTCTGTGTGTGTGTGTGTGTGTGTGTGTGTGTGTGTGTGTGTCTGTGTGTGTGTGTCATCCTGCAACAACACAGATGGTGTGGCAACTAAACAAGCTTCTGATGCTCCAGTGAAGAGGAGCAGACCTACTCCTCCTCCTCACCAGCAACTAGAGTTCTAACAAACCCCCGAGTGGACCGGACCTCCAAACCATTTCTCAAACGGGCTCGTTAGAATCGGACCCACTGCAGTCCCAGAGTGAAAAGTTTCATCACAAAAGCATCAGGACGCAGAAGGAAGTGAGGTGAACAAGGAGTTGTGAGCAGATTAACGATGAGAGCCGTCCACACAGCAGCACAGAAACCGGATCGGTACCGCTCCCAGAAGCACAAATTATTGTTGCCTTTCCTGCTAACTGGGCAGTAATAAATCCACAGAGGCAGAACACCAACAGATCGGGTCAACACACAGGAAAACCCCCCAAAAACACCAGAAAACATTGAGGGGAAAAGATTTGTAGAGGTCCTGGAAGATTCATCCCCCCCCACCCACCCACCCCCCCACACACACACACACACACACACACCCGCTTCAGTCATGGAGCTTCTGGCTCACTGCCAACTTAAAACCATAAACTTTTTTTCAACTTTGAACAAAACTATAACTGAATGTATTTCTTTGGTTTAACTTTCAACATTTCAGTAAGAGCGTGGCATGCTGGGAAATCCGTTCTACCTGACCAGTCGTCAGCGTGCTGGATCGTAAACTAGTCCTTTAGCTAACCTGTTAGCTTTACTAGCAAACCTGATACATGTGGGTGTTTTGAGTTGGTTTACCTTTTAGAGCTGCAGTTTGGATCCAATCAGCCTGAAGCTGAAGGCTATCAGAGGAGAAACCTGTGATGCATCGAGCTGCAGACAGTTTCTCCGTCTGAGATGAATCCATCCTGACAGCTGAAATAAAAGGCTGAAACCCTTCCTGTCAGACCGAGAAACGACTCTTTCACTTCTCTCTGAAAAACACGTTCCAAGACGAGAACAGAGCTGCTCTGCTTCTCCGCTGTCAGATCTGAATGTAAATCTAAACTCCGTAACGGCGAGCAGAGGAGCTCTTAGAGCAGCCGTGAATTAACACGGCATGAGCTTCAGTTCTCACCAATCTGCTGGACTTTGTAGAAGTTATTTTTCAAATGAAGGTGTGCGTGTGCGTGTGTGTGTGTGTGGGGGGGGTGGGGGGGGGGGGTTGATTATTAAGGAAAACTTTAAATTCTACATTTTGGGAGCAAATTTTAAACAAAAGATCTAAGTATTTTAGTTCAGATTCATCATCAGCTGGATTTACCATCCATGGATCATCAAAGTATTATAATAATCAATCGGGCCAAAAGGTTCTGAGCAGCTTCGCCTCAGCCTACAGGTCCACTGACCTCAGCTGGTTTTTAGAGCTCAGAGGGATGAAACCCAAATCTCAGAACGTCCCTGCAGCACTTCAGAGCCGCTCAGCAGCCGTTCAACCTTCTGACTGGTCAATATTTGTTTTACATTACTGAAACCTGAAGGTTTGATGATGGCTGACCCGTCGGTACCGACACCAAACCAACTAGAGCTCCTCAGACCCACCTCCTCCACGGTTCAAACCAATCTGCATCTTGTAGCTCAACACTGTTTTTGCATCCATTTGCTTTCCTTACTTGTGTTTTCTACTTCTCCCACATGTTGATGCCTTTCTGTTTATTACATACATTTTATTTGTATTTTATTTACTTGCTGAGTTTATTTATTTAATTTGATCATTTTGTTTTAATAAAAAGGTTTTATTTGTTTTTTCCCGTTTTATTATTGCCAGAAAGCTAGTTTTAAACACTATAAATGACTAAAGACCTGACCCAAAACCACCAGAACCTCGATAAACAGGAACTGAGCTGAGAATTATATAATCAGGAAATTAGTCAGAGGTTTAAATGAAAAGTTAAGGTTTCAGCTTGTGGAAGAAACAAATTCAGACTAAACACCTCTAGGGCGTATTGCTGCTCAGCCTGCTAACGCTGTCAACAGCTGATTAAAAAAGCTTCTGTCAGCTCAGAGAACAGAAAACATTCCCACACCAGACCCCCCCCCCCCCCCCCCACACACACACACACACACACAGCCGCTCTGACCTTTTAATCCGTTTATGTCCATGCATACATATTGGTATTAACATCCGGATGTAATAATGAAAAGCTAAGCCCACACCTGCGCTCAGCCAGGTGTGCACCTGAGTGCTGACTTCTATCACGCTGGATTACCTGGATTTATCCGTCCCGGCTTTGTATCTGGAAACTCTGGCCATCAGCAGGGGCAGGCAGACGGCGTCCAGCCAGCGCTTCTCGTACTTTGGTTCTTCAGCTGATGGCGAAGGCGGTGACGGAGTCTGTGAGGAACACAGGGACACTGTCAGCTTCCTGCCCCCGGCATCAAGAATAACCTGGATCACAGGATCAATCAGAGCCGCTGTAACAAACTGTGGTCTTTAACGGTTTCTGTATTCCGAGATGAAAATCCAGATGTTTGCCGGATTAAGGTGCTTAGCCAGTAGGTCGCATTCTAGATGATCCACTTCAGATGAGGATCTCCTCAAACTCAACAGTAACGTACCAAAAGGGTCCATTTTCACCTATATATTGACCTACATAGTGACCTTTCATCTACAGCATAAATCCACTCTCTGTTTGGCCTTCTAAACCCAGAAGGTTCTGTTCAGCGCACGTTTACATACCATGAAGAAAAAACATTCAAACATCCTCACCCAAGGTTCTTGCACCCACGATTTTATAGTTATAAGTTAAATAATCATGTGATGAAGATTTTTAAATCAAATGTTTGAATAAGCTGTGCTTAAATCAATGAATTTCAAATGAATGTTGTTCGTACAATGATCCATTTATCTCACAAATCAGTGTGTTTGATTTAACAAGTTAACCATGGTCTACACTCACACACATCACAATTAGATGCATATTAAGGTTAAGGTTCACCTCACATAAAAGTAAAGATTCTTACTCGGTGTTAAGAATCTTGTATCTGAAGGAAGGCGTGGCTTTCTGAGGGATGTTGGTAAATACTCAGAAACGTGTCAAATTCTGATTTGCCAAATTTGGCCAGAAATCATAACCAAGTAGTTTAATTAAACAAGAATTGCTTCCCGAGTAACTCAGTTTCCAGCTGAGCCCCGATTCGGCCAACCTCCTTTGACCTTAAGTCAGAAACCTTTCTGCAACGCTGTAAATGATTACAGACACAACAGCTCTTTACAGAGCCACTTCAACTCTCAGACATCCACCTTGGACACCTAATCTGCAGATCCCGGGCTGCATCTCATGGCCGGGGAAGCTGAACTCAGAGGAAACTACTAATCTCTGAGTATTGTGGTTTTGACATCCGGTGACCTCACCACTCTGACCGCAAACCTGCGGACCGCCGGGAGCAACCCATACCCGGGTATTGTAGCCTGCATACTGGTGTCTGATGAGGTTTATATCAATAACTAACTCTCTAGTTTATAACAACGAATTATTTTACACCCAGATTTCACAAATTCTCTCAGATACAAAGAACGTTTGCTAAACATCTAGCTTCCATTACATCACCTCACATCTATCACATCTAATTATTCATATCTTGTCATGTGTCAATAGTTTAGGAAAAATAAATTCATTTTATAAACTACAGACCGACTCTGGATTAATACGAAGTGTGTTTATGGTCCCTGAATACACTAAGAGCCCTAGAATCTTCTGATTAAACATTCAAAGATCAGATTGATATTTCATATTTGTATGGAATATCACATCTTATTGGTCATAATTAACATGTATTAACTGCTACAAAAGCCATCACTGGATGAACATCTAGAGCTGGGGTAGGTGACTCCAGTCCTAGAGAGCCGCTGTCCAGGATGTTTTAGTTGTTCCCCTGATTTTAATCAACAGGTGATTAACAGGCTTCTGCAGAGCTTTGAGCAGCCGAACAGGTGAGTCCACTGTACCAGAGTGGGGAAACACCCAAAACATGCTGGACAGTGGCTCTCCAGGAGCAGGGCTGCCTACCTCTAATCTAGAGGAATCTCCTTCAAGATGCTGCCACAGCTAATCATTAGCAAACACCAAAAACCCGTTTTTATAGAAGTTGAGGTTAATCCAACCTTGTTTTCATCACAAACAGAGAACCGGGATTCCACAAGGAGGAATGAAAGTTAGAAGATAAAAACAGGAAGTAGAAAACGATGATGTCACATGTGGTTTTAGATTTAGTGTGTGTGTGTGTGTGTGTGTGTGCGTGCGCGTGTGCGTGTGCGTGTGCGTGCGTGCGTGCGTGCGTGCGTGCGTGCGTGCGTGCGTGCGTGCGTGCGTGCGTGCGTGCGTGTGTGTGTGTGTGTGTGTGTGTGTGTGTGTGTGTGTGTGTGTGTGTGTGTGTGTGTGTGTGTGTGTGTGTGTGTGTGTGTGTGTGTGTGTGTGTGTGTGTGTGTGTGTGTGTGTGTGTGGACACATTTCTGTAAGCTTTGGTGTTAGACTAATAAAGTTTTTCCATTACAATGAGTAAAACTTCACTACTTCCCGTTTATTTCTCATTTTCCTCTCAGCAGACTGGAGCGGTCGGCCCCGCAGCATCTCAACCACTGAAGCTTGAAACAGAACGGAAGTTTGTTGAACTGGCGGGTTAAACTGGTTCCAGCTGCAGTCCAAAATCAGCAAAAACACTTAATGTGTTAGACCAGTGTTTCCCTGGTGCTCGGGGACCACTGCCATTCATGATTTCATGTCTCTGCTTCAGCACACCTGATTTAAATCGGCTCCTCAGGAAGACATCAAGTGCAGCAGATGCCTGTTGATCACTCATTTATCTAAGTCAGGTGTGTGGCAGCAGGGAAACGGCGACGTTTGAAGGGCAACATGAAAACATGCAGGACAGTAGGGTTGGGAAACACTGTATTAGACACATGGATGAAATATAAACCTTCTGCTGCAATTAAATTATAAAAATTTCAAATGTTTATATTTAAACATATTTCATGGATCTTTTTAAAATGCAATCAAAACCTCAGCTTTCTGACTTCTAAAGCTAGACTTTAGAAAACACTAAAGAGACAATAACCATGAAAGGCACCACATAAAGCCGAGGAGTCAGCAGGGAGGTTCTGAGGAGCAGAACAAAAGAAGCGGTTGGTGTTTGGACAGAAATTATCTTCACTTGTTTAGAAACTAGAGTAAATAAATATAGATTCTGTTGGCGTTTTTTTTGTCAGCATGGCGGAGCTTCAGCTCAGGGAAAAGCAGAAGCCATCGACCACATCAGGCTCCGACTCGTCCTCCTTTACCAAGATCCATCATCTAACTCAAACCTTTTTAAGGTTTATTTTACATTTTGTCCATATTTTACACAAAGCTTCTTTTCCTCGGCTTCTAAAACAAACAACCTGCAGAGAAACTGTTCACATATTTAGGTTATTACATTCCTCCAGTTGTCTCAAACAGAATGCGGCGATGGATGCTTTTTCTGGATTTAAGCAGCAGTTGAAAACAAACTTGAGCTCATCTCGAGCTAAACTAACCGCGTAAAAACAAATCCACAGGCTTGGCTTCCCTAAATGTTATTTTTGTTGCAGAATCTCATGAGACTTCACTCGTCTTGTCCATCTGAGGTGTCGTCATGGCACCGGGTCTGCTCTGGTTATCCGTTGGGCCGACCAGATCTAGAGTGTTTGGGTTCAGATCGAAGCTCATCAGAAGGATCGTTACTGAGGAGTTGATGGACTTTGAGTTTGGACACAAAGAGGAGATCTAATCGGTCTAATTGCTGCGAGGATCAGACGAATGGATTCAGGATCAGATCGGCTTCAGCAGACATGATGAAAGGAGGGATTTTACCTCGTTTCCATTAACAGTGATTAAATAGAATGGTAGAAGATGATCAGAACTACACAGCTCTGGCTCAGAATCCTAATCAGAAAAGAAGAAATGAGCATTTAAAAAATCAGTGTGAATAAGAATGGTAGCAAGACTAAAGAGCAACAGAAATGTTAACACTGATGCCAGTGGCATGTTTGGGTCACCACGGGTTCTCCTAATGGCCCGTTAAGGTTGCTATGGTAACAAGACACCTGAGGAATCTTTAAAGGAATATTCCATCTTTAAATTAAATCTCGTCTGTTGTCTTATTCCCCATAATTCTATAAGTGGGCAAAACATTTTGTAACAAGTCATTCTCCTAATCGGGCAGTACAACTTTAGCTTTAGCTTAGCATAAAACAGCGTAAGTGAATGGTACCAACTAGCATTACATGTGACTTAAAATAAATTCTCTCCATTATGAAGTTTACAACCTGTAGACGAGGTGTGTAAAGCTTGTGGGGTGTGCAACAGTTTCCAGATGGTTCTAAATGACATCACATACTTAAACAGCGATAGTCTGGAAACCAACGCCAGCTCAGTCAAGTCAACTCCAACTTCCTGTGACCAGATTGAAGGCAAGATACCATTTTACATTTTTTAAAGAGTTTTCATGAGCCAGTATGGGCTAAAATGACCCTTTAGAGGCTTGATGAGAAGTCCCTCTCCCCCCTCCGCTTACTACAGGAACGAGTGAGACGTTTAAATTATTGTAAAGTTCACCAGCATTAAAAAGGGGGTGGGGCTTTCTCTGTGTTACGTTCATCCTGATCAGGATGGGTTTTCATACATTTGAGTTTTCCTAAAGTTTTTGGAGACAAAAACAATTAGGCGCTTCAGCTCGTCTAAACGTTGGCAGCAGAAGGTGTCACGTGATCGATTCATTTAAAATTTGTCAGATTCAAGCTCCTCCTTGAACCGTCACCTTATCGTGGTGGAGGAGTTTGAGTGCCCTAATGATCCTAGGAGCTATGTTGTCTGGGGCACTTAGTGCCCCTGGTAGGGTCTCCCATGACAAATTGGTCTTAGGTGAAGGGTGAGACAAAGAACGGTTCGAAGGATCTTTCATGGCGGTTAAAACGAAGAGTCGGAGTACCCGGCCCGGAGGGTTACCGGGGTCCCACTCTGGAGCCAGGCCTGGGGTTGGGGCCCGTGAGCGAGCGCCTGGTGGCCGGGCTTTCGCCCATGGGGCCCGGCCGGGCCCAGCCCGAACCGGATACATGGGCTCGTCCAACTGTGGACCCACCACCCGCAGGAGGAACATGAAGGGTCCGGTGCAATGCGAATCGGGTGGCAGACCAAGGCGGGAGCCTTGGCGGTCCAATCCCCGGACAAGAAAACTAGTTTTTGGGACATGGAACGTCACCCCGCTGGCGGGGAAGGAGCCGGAGCTTGTGGCAGAGGTTGAGCGGTACCGGCTATATATAGTCGGACTCACCTCGACACATTGCATTGGCTCTGGAACCCGAGACCTGGAGAGGGGTTG